TAGAATCAATAAATAATTAATGAGGAATAACTTACAGGACTAGATAATGAAATTCGTCGTGATCGTTCCCATGAACCAATTTCACTTTTTGTCCATTGTTCACCATCTCCTCGCCAATCTCGTCCAATGAATGGCATTGTATGTATTATTGTAATAAGTAACAAAAATAACAAACCAATGATTAAATCAGAATTTTAAATGAGGTTGAATAAGATCATTTGTCCTTCCTTCATCCTCGTTTGTACTACATCTATGTATGAATGTATGTACTTATATAAGAGCTCAGAGAGAAAGAAAAGAGAAGACGAAGAAACGAAGAGAACAGTGATAGTCTTTCCATCTTCCTCTTCTCACGAGGTTGCCTCGTGCTTTTTGACCGGATGATCGACGTCATTTGTATGTATAGAATAGGCAAGAAATCATCAATGACACAAGAAGCATTAATGTAAGAGAATATATAGAAAAGAGTTTTATCGTCTGTCACCAGATGAATATTTCTCTCGTTAAGAAAGATATCACATGAGCTGCGAATGAGAACATATGACACATGAAATATAGTTCGCAATTACGTTATTAAGTTCTCCATTATTTATTATAGACAAATCTGTAATTTGATTCAAGAATATTCTCATTCGTTTTGATTATTCCAATAAATACTTAAAGGAAACGATTAGCTAAATATCTGATTGATAACATATTAGCATACATTAAATCTTTATCTACTAGCAAAGCAATATATTAATTTTAGATCGTCATTTTTTTTCTATATAAACTTAAATTTTATTGTTATTCATTATTAGATCTTTGCATAAAATCTAAATATGTTATAATGATATTAGATAAAGAACTATTCGAAAAAATATTTAATCCCATTAATCAATAAAGAAAAAATCATTTCTTAACATAAGTCAATTGTATCTATTCCAGCTTTCGAGTCTTGTTAATTTCTAGATTTTTCTTTTAGTTCTTGAAATTTGTCACGGTTGACATGTTCATAATTTTCTGATAATACAAACAATCTTCTAAAGTGCTGAGTCAGATAATGTTTGTTAATAATATAAATACATTCTTTTTCTGTTCTTTGTTAATAAATTGTCAATGTTGTTATGTTTAGTTGATTATTATGTGTGTTGATATTATCAGTAGGTAATACACTAAACAAAAGTACCTTTCGTGATGCATATTTGAATTCTCAAATAATAGTCATGTTCTCACATTCAAGCGTATTTTTTTATTTTCCTAAAGAAAAACTGTTACGTGTTTACTCAAATTAGAAATCATCAAATCTAGTTCTTATGATCATTATTTTGTATAATAACTGGAAAAGCAAGAAGATTCGAAAAAATATTTTTTTTGAATAAAACTGTTAATATATAATTGGAATGAGGCTGTAACATATTTTCTTCGTGATAATGTAGTAAGTGATAAATATAAAAATGTAGAAGAGAATTAATGAGTAGTTGAACAAAAAGAATTTATCTTTTATAAATTAAAGTAAGTGATAAGAGAACGATATGGGATCTTTCTTAAGTAGATATGATTAACATTAATTTCATCGAAATTTGTCAAACTATTAGTGACATATATCATTTCTACTAGAAACCTATAGATGCGAAAAACGATGAATTTTATTTATTAAAAGATCTATCACTAAACATAAATCCTATAGATCATATGAACCTATAAGGAAACGTTTTTTTTGGTAGATGTACATAGTGATCGGAAAGTTTCTAGATATAGTATTCTATTTTTTAACTATGACATAGAAGGACCTATAATATTGTTATCCTCATTACATAACAATTATTATTTGATTATAACTTTGAACTGTTTATTTTCAAAGAAAAATATTTAATTTTTTCATCATAAAGAACTATAGTTTTGATTTAAGCTCTATAGAAAAAAACTAACAGTTCATCATACGGCAAGTTGAACAAACAGATCATTAATTCTTTTTTTGTTGCTCTACGAGAGTGCAAGTGCAATTCATATTATTATAGAATATTCAACAAATGTTTGTTTAACCTTTATTCAATTTTTGTATTAAAATGAGTAAATTTTTTCTTTGTTTGATGATATTTAATAATTATAAATTATTAATCTTATCTTTAATATTATAAATTTTATCATAAAAAATCTTTTCAGAGAATAAATTTCAAAATGAATGTTTTTTAAATAAGAGTATTTCAATAAAAGAAAAAAAAGATCTGTATTGTTCTATTATTATTATAGAAAGTGAATCTTTTTTATACAACATGTGTACACTATTATATCAAATTCAAATAAATATTTTTCTCTTTTTACGTATAGATATTAATACAGCGAATCATTGTTCGACTTTGTTAATAATAATATAAATATTTTCTTAAAGATGTAATAGGCGACAGTAAATTATTGTATGAATAAGAAAGAAATTTACATAGACTAACAATATATTAGAAAACTCTTTAATTAAAACATAAGGATCATATCAGACATTTAGAGATATCATTATGTAATTGGTGACCCGACAATTGAGCCCTAGATATAGAGAAAATAATAGGGAACACAGAAAATTCGTATGTGATTTATTAGATGAATTTTAAAGTGAAACACGTAGATATACGAAATCTTTCGATGGCACTAATGGCCAACTAGAATAACTTTCTTTGGTTCAGCAGTCATCTTAAGTAAAACAAATAACTTTTTGAGAATATATTTCGTTAATTTTTGTAATCGACACAACTGCTTGTGTACTTATCTCTTCTTATTATTACAACATGTCAGTTATAAAATCTTCCAGAACACCCACGCCCTCAAAATTATTTTCCTGTGTTCTCTGATTTCTTCTCTATATGTGGGACTCAATTGTCAAGGACTCAACTGTCAGTGTACTTATGTATTTGTATTTTATTTCAAATCATAATTAAATAAATTCATACGAGCAGAAAGTAATCGGCATGTCACTAGTAAAAAATAGTAACCTTAATTGATCTTTATTATAGACTATATTTTTTTCATAATGATGCTCTAAAAAAGTACAAGCGTGTGATTTATTGCCGAGAAAAATAATCTGTTTCCACTCTTTCACCATACAGTATGACAGAAATCTCAATTTACATTAATTCTAAAGGTAAAAGTATTTTAATTGTTTTTTTAGAAACATTTACTCATTTTATTAATTCAGTTGATATATATATATTACATATTGCCAATATATAAATGAATTCAATACAAATTTCTATTATGATTAGTGAACAAACAAAAATCAATGGTTTTATACTTAGTTCGGTTTCTCTTGGCTTAAATACTTTTGCATGTTTGATATCGTGTATAATTTTTGTTATTATTATATATCATCTTTATTATAATCATGTCAAACGTAAAGACAAAATAACTCTTGTTCTTTGTGCTCATATATATTTAACAATTTTGATATATTCATCAATATTAATATCAATGAATATTCGATCAGTTCTGGGTGATTTGTATAACCAATCTTTTGATTCATCCTGGTGTATTTTTTCAGGATATTTAGCTCTTATAGCACTTACTTTGTTCTACATGAATTTTCTAAATCAGGTAGTTCGAAAGAATAGGAATTTAAAAAAATTATATATCCTTTTTTTGAATAATTCTAGGCATTTTATCGTCTTATTCGAATTGTTTATTTTCAAAATCGACGATTTCAATCTTTAAAATTATATTCAGTTTTACCATTTATAGAAATAATAATACTAACATGTATTCTTCTAGGTTTTGTTATACCTTTGAATGGTGTAATATATTTACCAAATGATCATTTTTGTTATCCAACACTCACAAATATTCCTTGTATTCTTTCGGAAGCAGTTATTGTTTATCTGTGTCCACTTTGTTGTATATCATTTATCTACATCCATATAACAAGATTTATTCATCAACAAGGAAATATTCAAACATTAAAAATAAAACAACGACACTCACGAGATTTACTTATTACCCGACGTATTTTAATAATTGTTAGTTTATTACTTATTCTTGGAATACCTGCATTGGTTCTTATATTTATGTTTATAATAACAGGTGAAGAACATCCATTACTTTATCGAATTGGATTGTTTCCAGTTAGTGTATCTCAAATGGGATTGAGTGTAGCATTACTTTTTTCTATTCGACAACTGAAAAATACTGTTCTAAACTTACGAACAACAAAAACGGTGACGCCCGTCAATCGAGCTATGCAAATGAGAACAATTATTGGTACTCAATAATTCCACATTGTTTACAATTGCAATAGTGAAATTAATCTTATGAATATATTTTCATATATTTATCAAAATTTAATTAGTTTTAACTTTTTTAATATTTCTTATTTTTATATGAGTATATAATTGAAATTCCTATTGATGATTATCATTATAAGTATTTTTCGTAGAAAAATCAATATGTTGTGATAATCAGTTTTGTATTGTTGATTTTTGTTTAATAATAAGTAAAAATAAATAAAGTTCCAGTATTAATTAAACTGTGTTATTAAATGGAATATTCTTGATATGAAAAAAAGAAGAAGAAATGTATAGGGTGTAATAACACAATAATTAAAAGCACAGAATAATACCAATGAATGATGGTTATGTTCAATCTCAAATGTGTTCTTGAGTAAAAGTTTTGCTTTATATTAAAGAATTTAACCTTCTGAGCTTTTGAATATTATTATTATAAATAGTCATTTTATAATCTAAATATTATTAAGAAAAGATCCAGAGGTGATAATTAGTCATTTAACAAATTTATTTCATAGAATTAAAAAGGTGAAAAATGAATCGGAAACATTTTATATTGTGAAATAGAAACTAAAATGAGTGTTGAAATATATAGAGATAAAAGTTCAAATCCACTTTCTCTGATATCTTGTTTTCATAGTCATTCTAAAAATACATAAAATGCTTGATCGTATTTTACAGTTTTAATTTGACAAGAATTGCACGGAAAACTTTTTATTAATATGTATGAATCAAACATTTCCGTGGCTGTATATTGTTCTATTGAATTTTGGTATTATATTCAATAATATGAATCGTTCAATCTTTTGTTTAACTTTTTTTTTCGATATGTAAAACATAAAATACATAAATGGGTTTCGAATGAGTTTTGCTTACCTTTATTGAAAAAATAATTAACATTACATTGACAGAGGAACATATTTGAATGTATCCATGTAGACATAGATTTAACCCTTAAAAGCCGAAGGGGGTTCCCGTGAAGTTCAGGTAGAATTAATTACATAAATAGAGATTTTGGGCCTTCAATATGCACTTACCGTGGTTAGAACGGCTAGGTGTGACCAAAAATTTTTTCCACCCAGATGGCCTGGGTGGAATATGACCTTCATAATTTTTTGTACGCTTTAGTTTCTAATATGGTTCAGAATCACTGTCAGTTCATTCGGATGATATTTTTACATATCTCCAATTATCTGTTGAGCCAAAAATTCACAATAATCGTGATTACTATGCCCAAAAATGCCATTAAAATGGTACTTTTTTATAACGTCAGAATACCTTAGTAGAAGAGTTAAAAGCGTGCAAAGTTGTTCTAAACTATAGTTTAGGGTTATTTCTAATGATATCACTCAGAATCTATATTGTATATATCAGGATATATCAATATCCGAGTAACCAAGTTTGCTTGAAAAACTATACATTCTAAGAGCTAGGTTTGGGCGTTTGACACCTGTTTTAGCATAATGTTGTTCCATCATACTTTCACTATGACTGTCTTCGTCACTAAAAACAGTAGCTTTTGCAGAAAAGACTTTATTCCTTCGTTCTATAGCGTTTAAGGCAATGTCCATTGAAAGGGACATACGGCTTTTAAGGGTTAAACATTTCCATATTATAGAGTCATCCATGAATATCTCCGATAAAAATATCTGAACTTCCCTCATTTGAATTCGCGAGAAGAAAAAACATAGCTTTTTTTAGTTGTGATTTTATTCGATCTGTGTCTACATTCTAAAGTCTTTTTATTTTCTTTTTTGAAAGTTTACTAAGATTATCATTTCATTCTTGTTTGACAATAATTAACTATAATAGCATAATCAACATTTGCACCAGTATCGACGGAGATGGGTATGAGTGTGGGTGTGCATCTGAGAAGAGTATAATACACGCACACCCAAAATTTAGTAAGAAAAATAAGTAAAAACTATTTTGTAAATACAGTTTAAAATTTAGTTTCGATATGCTGCGTGGTTTGGTGCTTCATTTCCATTATTAATGCTTGTATTTGGAAATGTTATTAATACATTTACTGATCATTCATTTGGCTTATGTATATTGAATTTAACAAATATATCTTTTCAATATTGTCCATCAGATGTACAATTAACATCAACAATTTTTTATACATCATCATCGTAAATATATCTTTTTGAAAGAAATTTTGTTTTTTTTCTTCAAAACTTAACGATACAATTTAGATTATGTAACTTAACTGATTTAAATATAACAAACTCAATAAATTTCAAAGAACAAATTCGAAAACAATCTTTATGTATGGTAGTCTTAGGTAGTTGTATGCTTTTAATTGGTTATCTTCAAATATCATTTTCAAATATAGCAGCCGAAAGACAAACACGAATTATTCGACAGAAATTATTTCGATCAATTGTTAATAAACAAATAATTTATTTTGACATGAATAAAACTGGTCAATTAAGTATAAGATTAACAGATGATATTAATAAAAGTCATGATGGTATTGGTGATAAACTTGCATTAGCAGCACGATTTATTGCTTCATTTATTTCTGGCCTTGCTCTTAGCTGGTTCTTTTTCTTTGCTTCATTAATAAAAGAAAGACAATATTTTCTTTTTTCTAGGTTTTTCTCTAGAATGGAAATTAACCTTAGTTATTCTATCGGTATCATCAGTAGTTTTTATTTCAACTGTAATGATGTCCATAGTTAGTTGATCAAAAGAATATTTTTAAAAACAAAACTATTTATCTCTATAATTAGCTTACAATGAGTTTAACATCGATGGAATTAAAAGCTGATCGTGAAGCAAGTGATGTATCTGAAGAAGTACTTAGTTCAATTCGTATTGTTTTATCTTATAATGTACAACAACGAGAAAAGAAAAGATTTGTAAATAAATATGAAAATAATTCTAAATAAATAAATATTTCTTTTTAGATATAAACAATATTTAAATGAAGTAAAAGAACGTGGAATAAGAAAAAGTGCAGCTTATGGTTTGAGTATAGATGTTTTGCAGCTCATTCTCTATTGCTCATATACATTAGGTATATTATTTACGATTAAACTTGAAAAAAATTTATTTATCTATTTAAAAAAAGGTTATTGGCATAGATCAGAATTAATTCAACTTGGAGAATATGATATTGGAAAAGTTATGATTGTAAGTTAAATTCAATTTACATTTTCGTTTTTTAGAATTTCTCATTATTAATATTATAGGTATTTATGACAATATTAGTATCTCTTTTTGATTTGGGACAAGCTAAAAGTGTTGCATCATTTGTATGGAATATTATTGATGAAGTAAATCTATTTTATTAAAACAAAAAAATGAATTATTTTTATTTATTATTGACTAGCCGTCAACAATTGATAGTAATTTAGATAAAGGAATTTAAAAAAGTGATTTAATTGGTAATATTAAATTTTCAAATGTTACATTTTCTTATCCATCACGTTCTGATATTGAAATATTAAAATATATTTCATTTAATGTAAAACAAGGTGAAACAATTGTATTAATTGGTTCATCTGGTTCAGGTAAATCAACATGTATTCAATTATTACAAAGATTTTATGCTTTGAATTCTGGTTCAATACTAATTGATGATAATGTAATAAATAAATATAATTTAAAATGGTTAAGACAAAATCTTGGTGTTGTTAGTCAAGAACCAATTTTATTTCCAACAACAATTCGTGAAAATATTTTATTAGGTTTTGATAAAGTAACCGATGAAGAAATTTATCAAGCAGCTAAAATGGCGAATGCACATGAATTTATTATGAATTTACCACAACTGATTTATTTTATTATTTTGATATTTAGCTACTAGTGCACTTGATAATGAGAGTGAAACAATAGTTCAAGATGCTTTAGATCATGTTTTTCAAGGTATTTCATTTTCAATTCTTTGATTTTATATTTCAAATTAATAAATAAGGTCAAACAACAATTGTTATTGCACATCGTTTATGAACAATGCGAAATGCGGATAAAATAATTGTTATGCAAATAGGTGAAATAATTGAAAAAGGAAATCATGAATTATTAATGAATATTCAATCCATTTATTACAATCTTATTCAAAAACAAAATTTACATAATAAACAAGATAAAACAAATTCTATTCCTGAAGAAGAAAATAAACAAAGAGGAATGAATACAGTATCATTGCAATCTCTTAAAAATAATCAAAATAAACAATTAGAAGAAATAAATGAAAAGAAAAAAGTAAGAAGAATTATTTCATCACAATTGTTAAGAATGAATAAACCTGAATGGATATTTATTTTGTTTGGATGTATTGGATGCATTTGTAATGGTATGATACAACCAACAATGGAAATTGTTCTGAGTAAATTAACTGCAGTATGTTTTCTTCCCTTTTCCATCATAACATTAGTTTTTATTTATTCTAATAAAAAAAATAAGGTTTTTCAAGAATGTGATGAAGATCCTCAACGTCGAAAAATTCTTGTTTATAATTTAATATTTATTGGATTTGGAATCATTTGTTTCATCGCAACATTTATTCAAGTAAATGAATTTAAAATCAAAAGAAGATAAATTTTTATTAATTTAAGAGTTTCTTTTTTGATCGTTCTGGTGAAGCATTAACACAACGTCTCCGTCAAGATATATCATATTTTGATGATCCAAATAACAATACAGGTGCATTATGTACACATTTATCAACTGAAGCATCGGCTGTTCAATGTGCGACTGGAATTAGACTTGGAATTTTATTACAAAGTTTTTGTTCACTTGCTGGTGGTCTTATTATTGGTTTTATATTTTCTTGGTAATTAACATTACTTATTGTGGCTTTTGTTCCATTACTTATTGCAGGAGGATTTCTTGAAAGTCGATTAATAACTGGTTTTGCAAGTAAAGATAAGAATGCTTTAGAAAATGCTGGAAAGGTTTATAGTTTTTCTATTATTTTATTTTAATACGATAGCGATCTTTTCTGAAAAAGAAACACACTTTTATAACATTATATCATCATAAAATGTTACACTTTAATGAAAGATATTGAACTGGCACTTTATTCTTCCAAATATATTCTTACTAATACTGCTAGAAGTCTTAGACGATTGACATAACCAGTCATGATAACATCCCAATCTTCTTCCCCCTCATATAAATTAATTGTTCCAATAAAAACATTTGTTCCTGCAAGATACATCTCTGCATGAACATGTATTCCGTCACTTTATCTGACAAAAGCAACAATCAATACCAGAAATATAAAAATAAATTTCATTTTTAGTTATTTACAAATGTATGAAAATGTTATGTGATAAGGCATGAGTTTACATTCCTCACAAATGACGTGTTATTTCACATCACTGCTAATAACAAGATTTTTTCAAGGTTATAGAACGTTTCTACAAAGAGAAAAGATTATTTTTCTAAATCTAAATATATGACATGCTGTTTTACTTTACCAATATAACAAAAAATATAATATAGCTGTAATACTTTTATCTTGAGCTATGCGTACAAGCCAAAGAAACGATAATATATTGATTAACAATAAAACAACAAGAAAAAAACTGTTATATAACTGAATTCCTTTGCAAAAAAACAAACTTTGAGGAAAAACTAACAATAAGTCTTTTGTATTGATTCATTTTTTTGAATATTAAACCTAACTACAATATCATCACGATAATCATGTGCAGAAAAGTCTCCGTCATAGATAATTCTATCATTTCGTTCAATCCAAAATCGTATGGTTGCACCATCTTGTTCAAAATTATCTTCAGCATCATCAAAATCATCATCATTAACATTACCAGTACATATAAAGTCAAGTTTCAATAATTTTGGACAATATATTGACAATAACGATTTTCGTTTTTTTGTATCTAATAAATGCGACCAATCCCATAAAAATAAATCCTTTATATTTCGTATATGTTTAAGTATATATTCAACATATTCATATATTATATCACGTGGTAAAGTGAGATTTAATCGAGTACATTGAAGCATCAATGATATTGTAGTTGTCATTTTCTGTTGTTATTCATCAGACTCATTATTAGGAGATAATCAGTAATCTATACTGAATGATTTAACGTTTTGTAAAGTAGGAATTAAGTGATTTAATCAAATCATCAAAAGTTAACGAATGAAGTAAGGCACATTTGATATTGGTTATTTAGTTGTTGTAGTTAAAGAAGGTATACTGATGTATCTCATTTTTCCGGAGTTTCAACGGTAAAACATGTAAGTAACCGACAAAAACCTTTATTAAAGACTGGTCAAATAATAAATTCCTTTTCTTCAATGCTATTATCAGGTCTTAAATTGTCCCATAACATAACTTTTAATGATTCTCGATATTTTAACGATGAAAGATGGTTCCAAAATGTAAATGAATTATCATTCAAAGAATACATAAAAGTTAAAGATAACAATCGAAGTTGAACTAATGAACCAAGAGAATAGATATGAAAAAAAAACTTTTATTGCATTAGAATTTCGTAATCTTAAGGATCGAATATTAGTAACATTCATTGTAGGTAAAACATTTTTCATAAAGTAACTATTATTGTCTTTTATTTCAAAATTTACATGTAGCGCTGTTTGACTAAGAATTCCATCAATTCTATTATTTAAACCACGAAATGAAAACCATAACTCACTCGAATGGAAATAATTAAAAACTTCTCACCATAATTCAACAAAAAATAGCTCGATTACATTGCACTGAAGGTTCGACATTTTCGATCTAGAATACAATTAAAAAGAGAATAAATTTATTGGATTCATCACATATTTGGCTATGAGTCACATGAAACTTCTAAATCATCTAATTAATAAACTAGCAATAATATTGTTTTTGTCCTTACAACAACCTTTTGTATAAGTTTCTTTTCCATATATACAATTTTATGATTGAATATTAATCACATTTCTATCTTCATATTTAAGAAATCGATCTTTTATTATGAACTTTATTCAACGATTTTTGTCTCGATTATTTCATAATCACCAACTTTTCTCGTTTTATCCTCTGAACTTCAAAGTATAAAGTGGATATTAGCATCTTCATTCAATTCGATTTAGTTTAGATCTCATGTAGATAAATGTCGAATTATGGGTATCTATGCGTAACGTTTTCGTTAATTCTTCTTTGATCAGCTGATCAACTAATGAAATAATGGAGATAACATTGTTGCTATATTGAGAGTAGGTGCAGTGAGTGTGAATTAAGGGTAGGGATACACACACTTACACCCACCCACCCACCCTTTTTGTTTCATGTCCAGTTATACATTCATAACGGTAGAGAGCGACTCTGCTTCTAGTAACGACATATATCAATACGTATAAACACTGTTTTATATGATCTATGCATCTCTCCTAACTCGCATACGAAAGAATTATTCTTCTTCATAAGATATACATAGATACTGGACATACTTAATCCACACTCGTCTCTTCATACTTATTCAATAAAAATTAGTGATTTCGTCTTTCTTTTCTTTTTTCTGTCTCTCTCGGTTCAATTTTTTTACTCTTCTTTTTTACCTTTTATCCTCGTATTAACTCACACATTGTTAAAATTTATGTTTTCGTTCGTTCGTCTCGGTCTATTGCATTTTCTTTTGAGCTTTTGTTTTATTTCGTGTCCAATTTTACATTTACAACGCCAACAAGCGCCTCTGATTTTAGGAACGACATACATCAATACGTATGAATACAGTTTTAAAACATCTATTTATCTCTCCTATATGGTATATACCAAAGATTTTATTCTTCTTCATGAAATAGGCATAGATACCGGACATACTTAATCCACACTCGACTCTCGACAGTTTTCGAATAAAAATCATCCATTTCGTCTTTTCTTTTCTTTTTTTTCTCTCTCTCTTCAACTTCTTTACTATTCTATGTTACCGTTTCTCCTCGTATTAACTCACATCGTTTAATTTCATCCTTTTTCGGTCAATCGTCTCAGTCCATTGCTTTTTCTTTACTACCTTATTTGTATTTTATGTCTCATTTTACTTTTACAACGCTAAGAAGCACGTCTGATTCTAGAAACGACATGTACCAAGACCGATTTATATTATCCATTTGTCTCTCCTAAGTGATATAGCAAGGATTTATTCTTCTTCATGAGAAAAATCTAGATACTGGACATACTTAATCCACACTCGCCTCTTCATACTTTTCCAACAGAAATAACCGATTTCTTTCTTTCTTTTCTTTTTTTACTCTCTGTTCAATTTCTTTCCTATTCTGTGTTACCTTTTATCCTCATATTATCTCACATCCTTCAATTTTACATTTTTTCGGTCATTCGTCTCAGCTCATTGCTTTTTCTTATTTCGTGTCCGATTTCACTTTTAGAACGCTAGAAAGCGCCCCTAGTTCGAGGAATTGTATGCATCGATACGTATGAAGATAGTTTTATATCATCTATTCATCCCTCCTGAGTAATGTAGCAGAGATTTATTCTTCTTTATGAGATACTCGTGTATACTGGACATACTAAACGCACACTCGATTCTTCAAACTTTTCAAACAAAACTAAGCGATTATTGTCTTCTCTTTTCCATTTTTCTTGAGGGAGCTTGGGGATCTGAACAACTGCACTTGTCTCCATCTATGTCGGTGAGTGTGTACGATAAATATCATCCACCCACATTTTCGCCACAGCCACACGCACCCTCAAAAGCTAAAAAAGCATTATTTAATAAGTAAATTTCTTTACTTATAATTGTAATATTTTCACTAATATAAATAGACAAATTATTGATCAAAAAAAACATCATCTACTGACCAAAACTCATATATTTACTGGTCAAAAAATAGTGATCATTCTATAAGAAAACGACTGATCATTTAAATGGGACCCTGTTAAATTTGTGTAAACACTTAGTCTTTTAATTATGTACATCTTCTTTAGATATTATACTTGGTACAATATTATATCAAATGGGAACTTGTTAGTGGATAATTTTGCATATATTACACGTTGCTTAATTATTGTTATTGATATAGTTTTTATTTCTGCATTAATTAAACTATATATGTTAACATCAACGAGTGTGAGTGTGGATATTGGTAAGGATGTCTTTTATCTCAATTCATACTCACACCCACCCACACAATAAGGTATGTATCTGAATTAGACTATTGTTATGATTCATACCTTTCTGAGATTAGTAACAATTTGATAGTAGTAGTATTTCGTCAGCCGCTTCATATATATACTATATTCAAAATTAAAACACGAAGTTTAATTTAAATTGCTTATCTTTGTTTTTTTTGTCTACCAGTTGTAGATACTGAAGAAACGTTATCAGACTGTAGTGATACATTCCTAAATATCTTAATAATGTTAGAATGCTGATATAACGACAATTCAAAAATAGAGTAATTATCATCTTGTAAATCAAAAATCTATACAGATATAATTATTAAACTATTCTGAAACGATATGTGAACACTCATATACTAATATCTCACATAAGTACACATGAAAATATAATGGTTCAACTGGAATTGATAAATATTGACTTTATGGTGTGAAGTATTTGACGTATATGTAGACTTTTATTTCTCAGTTAGTCTCAAGGTGACTACTATTTTAAAAGTATCACCATTTTGAAAAAGATTTACAGTTTCTTAGATTAAGAGTAAACAAAAGTTATAAATACAGTGAACCATAATGATTTCAACTAACACTTTAACGAAAATTTAAAGTGTTATAAATCAAAAACGAATTAGTCTGTTAAATTTGACTATGATTTTATTAAGATAAGAATTGAATTAATAAAAAGAATATAATAAGTAAAAAATAGAAGATTAACAAAAAAAGCACAGTGCGAAGAGCATACAATATAGAAATAAATAAGTTCAAATGACTTTCTTCTATATAGTTAAATAATACCGAAAAGAAATTGCAATTATAAGAAACTCTTCATATTACATATTTTCTATTCTAATGTACAAAAGATGAGCAAGACATGTAAGTTTACAGTTTCAACTCATTTGAAGTTATCTTAGTCTTAGCTTATCGTGATCAACGCATGCGATTACTAAAATGGTGAATGCATTGAAAAGATATATCCATTTATTATATAATACGACACGGTCATTGCATCTAAAATTAATGAAGCAATAAGAGAATATGCATTTACTTTTTTCGTATTTTATAATAAAATAAAAGCGTATCGTGATCAATGTATGTGATTGTTAAAATGGTGATTGTGAAAATGATGATTCTAATATGACTGGAGTCCTGTAGTTAAGTTTGAAGAAAAAGTAAAAAAAACCACATTTATCCTGTTTAATACTTAGACGTAAGATAATAATATTCAAAATAATCAAGAAAATTTCTTCCCATGTATGTTTATGAAATGGAGCATAGATCCAGATGATTCGGAACATTACGAGATCCTTGTATCTAGTGTGAGAAAGAAAATGAGAGATAGTTATTTATTATTTATTTTAAGAAGGAAAGCAAATGGAAATATTTTACCGATTAAATGTTGAATATCTCTTACACATTTATTTGGTTGGTTAAAATTAATGAAAACAATTCTATATCCACAAACATTTGATCAAAAATAACAAAAACAAAATCAAGTTTGTTCTTTTTTTGTTTTATTTTCTTCTATATTATTTTTTAAAACTAATAGAAATCAAAATCAAAAGATAAAAAAAACAAATACAAAAGAACAATATGAAACAATTGAAAAAATGATACCTGTTCAACAAATCCTTCAAGAAGAAAAACAAATTCAAATTAAAACAAATCTCGACATCAAATAACACAACTTAAATTCAATTTTATATTAAGTTATTTATTTTAGATTCATATTATTTTGTTATGTGCATTGTTAGATTTAATATATTATTCAAAAGAGTTTTTACATATTTTATTTGAAATAATTCAAGCATCACCAAATATACAAACTTATGATATTGAATCAAATGGTTCAATACTAAGGTTTGCCATATCTATCCTATTCACCTACACACCCTCAAGATGTTATTGATCTTAGTAGAAAACCTTGTTATCAATATATTAGTTTAAAAGAAAATAAAGCAGATGATTTAATTACATTTGATTTATCTTCATTTAATTATGAAAGGAAAACCGAAGAACAATATTTATTTATTAGGCGTCGAATTCAAAAATCAAATTTTCTTTTTCTTTATAAATATCTTCAACTTATATTGTCATCATTAACTAATTCATTTCAAACAAACCAACAACAACAAAAAGATAAAGATACTTCTTGTAATGAATCAAGTTTTCTTTCGTCGATTTTATAAAAATATGATGAACATTCAATTAAATATAAAACGAATTTTACATTAAATGCTCCACAAATACTTATTCTAATTGATCTGGTAAAATTACAAATGAATACAGATTCAAGTGACAACATAAATCCTTCATCTATTAAACAACATCGAATTACATTAGATAACTTTTCAGCGAGTCGTTTTATTTACAAAAGGATAAAAATGAATTAATTAATAAAAGAATTTTAGTAGAATACTTATCATTTGTAACATTAATTAATTGTTCTTTACATCCACAAAATGATTCCAGTGGAATTAATAATTATGCATTTTATTGGTCAAATTTTTAATGAAATTTTTTTTTATTAAATTCTAAAAATTGATAAAACTCAACAAGAAGAACAAATTGGAATGGAACATCAAATCATCAAAACGTATTTCTAAAAAATAAGATTTACAATAAGATACAAATGTTTATGAAAAATTCGGTTGGGTTTTTAAAGACAACAAATTGGTTAAGAACTTTATCATTCTCAAATTGATTTTTACAATAATTATGTAACGCAAGATGAAAACGCTTAATTTCTTTATTTAATAATTCAATTAATTGAAATGAATTTTAATTTATTATTAAATTCAACATTTATTATTACATGATCTTTAAAAAAACAAGTTCAAGTATTATTAACAGACATTTTAATGTTCAACAAAATACATTAATATTTAACATGAATCTTCAATTTAACAAATCTAATAGAATATAAGGTACAGATTTTTATTTTTTAATTTGTTAATGGTCAATTAGAAAATTTTTGCATTTGTAAAAGTCTGGACATCCATCCAAAAGAAATTATTAATGTATTTAATAATTCAACTTATTTTATGAAGATATCTTCATTTATTTATTTTCCATTAGATTCATCTAAACATTCCGTTTCATCTAAAATAAAAATCGTAAATGAAAATAATTATTTGGTTCTTTTAATAAAATCTTGTATTGTAGCATACGGATAATGAACCATGTCTAATAGCTTTTTGTGAACGACTTTGCTTTGAAATGACAACTGATCTTGATGAAACAAGATTACAAATATTTTTTCTACCAGTTTATGTTTATGTCGAAGATCCGCATATTGTAAGTATATTTAAAAATTGGTTGGAATTCTAAACATTCACTGCATGCTACAAAGTAGAAATGTAACTTTCAACTGAACCGATCAAATCAGCTTATTTATTAATATATGTCAGAAAACTAAATAGCTCTATTGACTAGTAGTTAGTAATGCTTTCGTTTTAAGAGTTTTTGAATAAGACCATTTGAGAAAAGTACTTATGATCTCAAAAACTCTTGATTACTCATCTACTAACAAATAGATAAGCCCAAACAATGATATTCAAGTGTTTATCTCATCATGGTATGTTTTTCAAATTTACTTAGTTATTAAAATAGTCTACGTAAAGACTAAGTCATTTAAGTGAGATTATCAAATTTCAACATGCTAAGCTATTACTTCTAATTTGTATCTTGATGTTATTAATTCAATAAATATGAATGAAATATTTATTGATCTCTGAAGAACTCTAACAAATCTTTTCTTTTTCATCTAGAGAAATAAAACAGATCAACATTTATCTACTGGATGTCTTCAATTATCTGGTTTAAGTATTCGTGGTCATGCAATGATCTAACATGAAGGTTTACCACCTGAACGTGAAACACTTGAATATGCTTGGCAAATGGAAATTATACTTGGTAAAATCTCAGCTCGATTAACAACAATTCAAGTAAGAAATTAATAACAAAAAAAATATTTTTTTTTGTAAATAAATAATATCATTCTATTGTTTTTAGTTAGAAAAAACCTTAGGTTTTGTTAAAAATTTTTATTTACAAATAATGGAAGATGAATATACACTTGGTCGTTCACCATATATTGATAAAGCAAAATGGATTGAAAAACTTAAATATGATGTACTTAGATTTAGTTTAGATTCAATCGATCTTAATCTCATTGAAGTTGAAAATGTTGTTAATGTTCAAGTAAGAAATATTCTATATAATTTCTTCATCATTCATAATTTTGTTGTTTTAGATAGCACCTATTCGTTTATGTATGTGTAATATGCATACATCATTATGTAATGAAAGTTTAACTTTAAAAGTTGGTACAATACAAATTCGACAATTATTACGTCTTTATCTTGGTTCATGGTTAGAAACTGGTTCAATAAGTGTTCCGGAATTACGTATTAATGCAAAATTTGAATGTCATCCACCAACACCTGCTACAATAAATGAACAATTAGAATTTCTTCGTCGACATGATCAACATTCTCAACGACTACATTTTCTTTATAATCCTAAATCTCAACAAACATTAAATATTCCAACAATATCAACAAATTTAAAACGTCCATCTTATGTTGGTTTAGCAACAAATTCTAATGTATTATCATGTGCATGTCTTGGTGGTTCAACAAATTATTATACACTTGTACAAGGTGAACAATTTTTTAAAAGTACATTTCGTCTTAGTGATCAATCATCATTTGGTCGTTCATTATTTCATCCGGAGTTACATGTTTTACATTCACATTTTATATTTGAACATAAATATAATTGGACTAATTATGAACATGTTAATCGATTGCATGATGAATTAGATGAAGAAGAAATTTTTTATCCATTTGATTTTTGTGGTCAACAAAAACAATCTACTGAACAACATCAAAATATAAATATAAATGATAATCTATTACGACGTAGTGTACCAACAGATTTGTATTCATTATCACGTGCTACCTCATTAAGAAATCTAAAACATAAATCAGTTATTGAACGAAATGAACATAAACGTTCATCATCATCAATACCATTAAATAATATAAATATGGTTTCATCACCATCACCGCAAACACCAGGAAGTGATGATTATTTAACACCTAATGAACATTTATCATTAACAAGTGCAAGTCAAACAAGTTTAAGTTCAACTTTAAATAATACAAATAATAATATGGAATCATCATCAATATCATCATTAACTATGATGCAACAACAATCATCAACTTTATCATCACCCATGCATTCAGATTTAAATTTATTTTTAACATCAATTGGTAATAAACAAAATCTATCAACAAATTCATCACGTTCATCATTAATTGATTCATTAACAGATCTAGAAGAAATACTACAAAGACAACAAACAAGAAATAGTTGAGCATTTCTACCTCAAAAAGTATGTATATCATTTAAAAGAAAAATCAATCATAGTTTTTTTTGTTCTGAGATATTAGATTTATTTTATTTAGTGAGATAATTGTAACTACAAAAATTGACATCAGTTATTTTTTCTACTATTTGATATACTAACTAACTTATTTCATATAGAAAACAAACGAGACTGATTGATTTCAATTGTAAGCCTTTCAAAAAAGAAATATCTCGGTTTCTTCGATTTGTATTATACATAGTTGAATGACTAACGGTCGGATTAATACAACCAGCTATCACTACACTAGAACGTATCATTAATAGTTCACACTGATTATATTTCAAGTATATTCAGAATTTTTAAATAATAAGAATTCAATGATTTGTATGAAGATGAGATGTAATAGAAATTTTTCTATCTTTTAGGGAACTTCATCAAACATGGAATATAATACTATACCACAACCATCTCTTCCTAGTTCGTCATGGATAAGTTTACGTAATCAAATGAAAATGCCTATACCAAAATCGACTCTTTTATGTACAACATACATACGTTATTTATCACATTATCGTTCTTCAACATGGTCCAATATCGCTACATTCCCACCAAATATTCAACAAGATCAAATTGACTCTCGTCCAATACTTGATTTTAATTGTGTATCTCAAGGTTTTTGTTGCTCATATTTATCTGAAATGTCTCCATCTTCACAGTCATTTACTACTCCATTATCTCGACAACCACCATCTCAACAACAACAATCTCAATCACAAACATCATCATCAACAACAACAGCAAATTCTCGGCCACGTCTTTCAATTGCTCAAACAATATCACCAGTAAATGCATCAAATATAATCGCTACAGAAAGAGAAGTATGTCTTCGATTTATCGGAGCATTTAATATTCTTTTAACATCACTTATGCTTGAAGATTTAACAACATATATTGAAAAATGGAAAACATTATGATATTCATCCAATATCTATTCCTGATGGTCTTCATGTTCAAGCACAAACATAATCAAATCCTTCAGTAACATTAATTGATTTATCAGCAACCAAAATATCTTTACAATTACCTAAAATAAATGTGTGTTTATTACAAGCTGGTTTAGCTGAAGATAATATTCAATTAACTGAATTACGTACACCTGTTGATATTGTTACAATGTCATTATTTGCACTTTCATGTAAACAAATACAAATGGAAACAATTTTATCTGATCGTGATCAATCAACAGCTGGTGTTTTTAAAATTCAATCAATAACAGGACAATTTCGTCGATTTGAAAATGATTTTTCTTTGATTGAAAATGTTAATATACATGCTATACAATCACAACGTTGTCGATTACAATTTCGTTTACCAAATGATATACAAACACATTTACCACTTGGTAATAATAAAACAAATGTCGGATTTGTTATGAATGAATTTGGTTTACAACGCCTATGTTTTAAATTAATTAATAATGCAGCTAAACAACAACAACAACGTATACATATTTTACTAATAATGACACGAATTGATGAAATACAAACAACAAAAGCTTCATCAAAACATAAATCAAAAAGAAAACAATCAACTGATGTAAGTTGAAAGAAATAATTATCAGAGTATTACATAACTGGATTTCTCACTCACGCATTACCTATTAGACAGACGAGATAATATTTCTGATCTGAATTTTTCAGCACATTTTGATATATTAGAACTTCGTAATAATATTCATAAAACGGAAAAATGTCATACATTTTATTTTTTTTATATCCTTTAGCCATTACTTGCATCTCCATCGGCAATAAATTCACCTATAAACATTCCACCGGCTACTACTACAACTAATTCTTCAGTCGTTCCAGTATCATCTAGTCCATCATCAAGTAGTGTATTTGATGGTTCAATTGATCATGTTTGGATATCATTTCCTGAACCTCCACATCATACACATTCAACATCAAATTCTTCGAAACGGCCACGTACAAGTACTACTAGTGCAAAACAAACTACTACAGCACCTAAAAAACTTTTTTCATATACACGTTATGATTGGAATTTTCTTTCAACATTATCACCAACTGTTCTAGGTTGGTTTTGTGTTATTAATCGTATACAAAAACCAGTAGAAAAATTTCTTCGTAAACGTGAAAAACGTCTTGATGCTGTTCTAGCTTATTTTCTTGTTGAAACAAAACCTGTATCAACTTTATCACAAAGTAAACTCTATGATTTATTAACTCCAAAAACAAAATATCTTCTTTCACATCCTGTTTGTCAACTGGTTACTGAACTTCGTAAACAATTCAATCGTAATACTCAAATGAATATGAATCTTCAACCAAATATTATACCTGACTTACAATTACTTAAACAAGGTATACGTGTATCATGTCGTGAATGGGCACAAACAATAAAACAACAACCACATAAAATTATTGTTCAACCACCTTCATCATCAACAACAACATCACCTATTAATAGTATATTACCAACAACTAGTAATGATCAGGAACAACCACCAGCTGTTGTACGAGCACCCACAATGGTTGATCGTGTTCAACGTTTAATTGGACATGAATTTGTTACAGCACATCCACGTCCTCCAACACATATACCAACTAAACAACATGATGGATATGATAGTTCAATAACAAATGGTTCAGCTATTCGAAGACGTACAACAGTACAAAATGCACGATCAAATATGAACAATAAAGACACAACGATTGAAATGAATAATGATAACAATGATTTATCTGGAGGTGATGGTCGACGTGCATCAAGTTTTCTAGGTAAATTTTATTTTAAATTCAAATTATTAATTTAGTTTTTTTTTCGTGAATCAATATATCAAAATATTATTTTCTTTTTTCATGAGTAGTTATGCGAGAAAAAATATCCAACGGTAGGATTAATATTTAGAAAATGTTTATTTCTTGCTTTTGTTTTGTACTTAGTGAATGATAGATGAAAACACACAATACGATATATAAAAGCACTTTTTTTTTGCAGTAATTTATAGAATGAGACTTGCAAATAGATAGTAGTTGATTAGGGGGAGGTGGGATAAATGCAGACTTCTGTAGTGCAAAATGTCCCATGTCCCTATTCCCCACTAGATAAAATACTGATTCCTGTTCAAGTTTAATGACTGTAAGACTAAGCAAAGTTTATTTTAATCTATGTTGCTTACTCTATCCAACTTCGTATTCTTCTTTTCCCTAATTCTAACTGTTGTTTTGCACCTTTTCGTCTTATCTCACTATTCTTATAAGCACGAATTCGTAAATGTGTATTATAGCATCAATCACAGATCATATAAGTGTAGTAGTTCAAGAAGGTAAGATATATATGAATAAATAAAAGGATATTATAAACGAAATAAAATACTAAAGATGCTTATTCACATATTCATTCACATGATCGAATAACATATATATCTGACATATATGGTATATATGGTTTTATTTAATAAACAAAAAAGAAATAGATGCATGTGCATGATTATGATGCTTCTTTTTCTTTCTTAACAAAATATAAAAATCAAATAAATTAATGTATTAGAATTGAATTTCCTATTTGTTTTGTTTCTTCTAATATAGTACAGTTGATGTTATGCGACGTTTTGGACCAGCAGTTAATGTAAACAATACAAATGGTTACAAATGTTTAAGTGTTGGTCATAATGAATTAGATTTTGAAGATAATACAAGTGACATACGATTAAATGATAGTAATCATGATAATGAAACAACTTATTATACTGATATGACACCTGAATATGCTGGTGTAAAAATAAATCTATTTCATCATTAATTGAACCATTATTTGAAAAATTAGGTCAAACAGTTCTTGCTACATCACACACTAAACGATTTCATGTAAAATTTTTACCAAATGAACCAACAAATAAATCTCAATCATCACCATCATCAGTCGTTCAATTTCGTTTATCACATATTCGTCAATCAATACAAAATACATCAAACGAATTAGCAATACTTTCTGTAACTAATTTAAGTACTCAAAGTGTTTGTAGACAATCACTTGAATATGTTCAGTTACATTCTATTAATGTACAAGCTGGTATACGTATTCTACGTGTACAAAAAGAAGTAAATTTATCATTTATACATCTTGTTTATCAATTTTTATACATTTGTTGGTAATGCACTTGAATGTACAGGTGTTGATGAAATAACAAAATCAGATACAAATACAAATACAAATGACCAACAGAATAATTCTACCGTTCTTACATCTGAAAATGGTACACAAACTCTTGCTTTAAAATTACTTGAACCAATTATTCTTCGTCTTGATAACATTGATTCATATAGTTCTGAGCGACAATGTTGGAAAAAATGACTTAAACTTGTTTCTTATTATAGAACTGTACTAGAAATAAAACCAAATCAACCATCAATAATGTCACGAAAACAGCAACGAAGTGGTTCACAACCACCAAATGAACATGTATCACAACAACAACATCCAACACGTCATATGGCAATAAATGTAACAAATGAAACACTGTTACTTTCATCATTTGGTTGGTTAATTATTGATGAAATACATTATGCAGCTTCTTCAGGTGGTTTAAAAGTTGATGGTTGTATGAAAAAAGTTCAAGGAAATGTTAGTTTATCACAAAGACTTCGAGCTTTACAATCAACAACAAATAATCAAAATACAAAGAAGTAAGATGAAGGTTAATATTACATACTTAATTAAATTTAATATTTAGATATGATGGTTCATTAATTCTTCAAATTGGTTCAACATCACTTTCTTTAAAAGAAACTCTTTCTACGTCTACCGATAATCTTCCATCGACAAATATTCCAACAGTTCATCCATCATCTTCCAGTACTACTTCATCCACACGACAAATATCTGTTCTTGATATAATTGTTGGTAAATCACAAGCATTAACATCACTTCAAACACGTGGTATTAGTTTAACATTAAGTGGTGTAACAAATATTGGTACAATTGCAATGGATGTACCATTAAGACCACAAGAAGTTCATGATCTTGTTAATCGTGCTGGTCGTTTAATAACATCGTATGTTCAAGAATTTCTTCCCGATGATACACAACAAACATCTTCTATACCAACAACAACTAATACAGATAATGAATTAATTAATACAAGTTTAAATGATACTATTGAAGAACCTACTACACCAGTTCCATTAGAACAAACAATAACAAGAAAACGTTTAGGTACACGTCGCAGAGATACAATTAATCGTAATATAAATCCACGTTCATTAGAAACTCAACAAAATATATCAACATCATCGAAACGATCTATATTTGAAGTTCATGTAACAGTACATTACGAAAGAACGACATTTTTTACAATACTTCTTTCAACATTAAAAGCGCAATATAAAATAGATGTTGCTAATATTGGTCGAATGAAATCAGGTTTTACAGCTATTATACATGAACATGCATTACATTTTTTAAATAATAACAATCATGATCATCAATAATCTTCAACAGTTAGTTCAGATAATCATGTAAGACTTGATTTTCCTAAAACACGTTGTTATGGAAATTATTCTATTCAACAAGAACAAGAAAGTAAAACAAAAGATCATTTAAATCGTCGTACAAAAATTGATGTACTTAAATTAACTATAGCAGCTGATTTTTTTGCACAATTAGTTTTTGTTTCCAAAGTAATTATACATGAAATAAATGAAATTTTTGCAAGAGCTTCTGGATTTGATGAATTTCATTTTGGAACAACAACAAAACATACACGTTTATCATCATCAACAGTAGCTATTATGCGTATTGGTTCAACAGATACAGAAAATGAAAATGAAGATGAAGATGATGATGAACCAAAAAAAGATCAACAAACAACACTATCAACATTATTTACATATAAAATAGATATATCAATGAAAGGTTTTGAAGTTATGGGACAAATGCCGTCAACTACAATAGTTAAATTTGAAAATGGCGATAAAAAAGTACCAATATTTGTTAAATTAACAAATTATGATGAACAAAATTCTTTATTACTCTATAATAAACCATTAATTAAGACACTCTTAAATATTAAACTTAGTTTAGGACAATTATTACACACAGGTAGTTTTCAAGATGCTGCTTATTTTCAAACAAAAGTACTTTTAAAAAATTCATTACAAGTAAGTTTCAATTTTTTTCTTTTTTAGCAAAAAAATTTTTTTTGAGTCACATATCATATTGAAAACTTGATTCTTATCTTAGTCGGATGATCCAGATAAAGAAGCTTATTTTATTCGTTTAACAAAACCAAGTTTCTATCGGCAACCTGGTGCTATTGATAAAGGTATGTAAAAGTTTTTCTTGTTTTGTTTTTTTCATTCAATTTCTTTTACATATAGGAATACTTTTTTGGTTAAATTATAAAAATACATATGAACATTGTAATGAACAACGTGGTGCATTTACAACTCCAATAAGTAATTCAACACGTTTACGTTCAATTGTTAATATTCCAACATCTCCTGCACCTAATAGAGAACTTAATCTTATGTTTCAATTACATATTGTTGATTTGAGTATTGCTATACCACTTCAACAATATGATCCACCAGCAAAATTATCAACAACAGATAATATAACACCATCAGGATTAACAACCCAACAATCTATTCCTACACTTGATGAAAGTAGTGATTTTCTTGTTTTTACACTTGATAAAACAACAATATCAGCATGTTCATGTGGTGCAATAATAAGTTCGGGTTCATTTGAAGGTTTTTGTTTTCGTTTTGCTCAAAATTTTAAACAAACAAGTAAAAATTAGAAACCTGCGCGTTCATTATCATCACCAAATATTATTTTAAATACATGTTGTGTACCGAGTGAATAATATTTAATACATTCACGTGTTAAACATATACTTAATTCTTTTAGTCCAAAATGGGTTTTAAATGTTCAATGAGATATATGAAAGGTATTAATATAAATCTTGATTCAATTATTCGTAAACATTTTTCACAATTCATTCGTACAACAACATCAACACAACTAATTGATTATTTAAATAACTAAAATAATTCTTCATCAAATTCAAATTTATTAAATACACAAGCTGGTAATACAAAAAATATTTTAGAAAATATTGATGAAAGTGATGATGATGATGATGAAAGAATAAAACGATTAGAATAAGAACATTTAATATTAGGACAACGGTTTGATGTCAAAATCTCGAAAGTAAAAATCTCGAAAAATGGCGCTACTTTCAACGTCGATTTTCAAAATTTTCGAGATTTTTACCATTCGAGATTTTTACTTTCGAGATTTTGACATCAAACCAGGACAACAAATTGAAAGATTAAAGTAAAATATATTTGGAATATGATATTCTTCTTTTTGTATTTTTTATTTAATAGACGTTCTCAAACATCTTATGAAACATTAAAACCAGAATTAGCAAGATATGAATGATTAGAAAATGAATTATTACAAACAGTTAAATCACAAATATCATAAATTATGAAAAAACATTTGAATAAGGTAAAAATGATTTTACAAAGAAATACAATTTAATATTGAGAACTAGAGAATCATTTGTAAAATATCGTATTCGTAGTACGATTAAGAGGTTCATATTCGAATATATAGCATATTTCTTCCCTCGAAATGTAATAACAATGCTTTATGCATACAATGTTTTGTTTCTTCATTATATATCCCCGATGTTGAGAGTACTTATTTCTTTTAGTTTACTTTTATTTTTAGCTAGAACTCACTATGTTTAGATAATATTTGATAAATACTGACGATATATATTTTTTCTAATATTTTCTTGAAAGAGAAAGGGTAGTCACAGATCTGTGCAACTTATACTTCTCTTGGATACAAATTCATTGTATGAAATTTGTTGGAAAGTAATTAAAAATGAAGCACTCTAGTATTAACCGAATAAATTTTCAGGGTGTTACACGAACCAACTTTTAGAAACAAAATTTCACATTTATTTGGCTTCGAAAAAAGAAAATTTTTTCATTTAGATTTGTAAAACTAATCAAAGAAAAATCATCTAATGTTCATGAAAATCATTGTGATGTTCAACGTCTTCTTGAACAAATTCAATATCAACATGAAACATCAATTAAATTAGAAAAAGAATTACAACAAGAAAAAACCGTACTTGAAGAAAGACTTAAAGTACAAGATTCTCGTATTAAAATTTTCATATAAAATCTCAAGTTTTTTTTAGAGTATTGTATATATGTTAGTTCAAATAGATCAAGATATGGTTACAGCTGAACAACAAATTCGTGCTCATAAATCTCAAACATAACGAACAGTTTAATTAAAACGATTATTACTTGAATACGAATTAACACAAGAAAAAAATCTCTATGAATGTTTAGCTATTGCAACTGACGCAAGAGAATTAATTAAGCAACTTGATATGAAATCATTACAAGAATTAAGATTAGTTACTAAACCAAAAAATTAGTTGAAGATACATTAGCTGCTATTATTATGATTTGTAAGTTTAGAATATTTTTCTATTTTTGTAAAATTTCATATTAATGATAGTAAAAATCTCCAATAGTTGATATGATATGGCAAAATGATGCGAAAAGATAATTAGCTAATGTTGATAGATTTATTGAAGAAACTCAATTATTAGATAAAACTAATTTAATTAGCGTAATTATTGATAAAGTTCAACTTGAAAATATATCACTTAATCAAACATCTTATTATAATGCTGTTTTAACACTTTATAAATGGGTTAAACGAGTTTTACAGTTAGTTATTTGAAAAAAAAATATTATTATTATTTTATACAGATATCATACAGTTTTACTTAAAAAAGTTCGACCAATACATCAGAAATAAAAAGAAACTGAAGAAGATATATTAGAACAAGATCAAAAATTAATTTGATTAGATATTAAAAGTCAAGTTAGTTTCTTATTATTGAACATTTTTATATAAAATAAAATATACGATTAGGCATTAGAAGCTCGTTTAAAAGATTTTTCACAACAATGAAAGAAGATCAATTAAAATCTGCATCAGAATTAAATCAAGTTTGTTGAAAATTTCTTAAATATTTTTCAATGAAAATCGAAATAAATTTAAATATTTATTTTTGTAGATTTTATCTCGAGAATTAGAACGAACAAGTAAAATATTTGAGACAAGTGTAGAACGTCAATCAACATCAAATGGTACATGTGCAATTGCATCAACATTTCAATTTATCATGGTCCATATACATATGGATTTCGATGTCTCATGTTAATTGTTCATTGGATTAAATGTATTAGAGATAGAGGAATCACTATTGTTTTTGATGAAGTATTAAAAATAGAATTATAAATTGACAATTAGATCCTATTAAAGAAAATTTACTACAAGTAAATGAGCTTTTATTTTAATTTGAAAAATTATAAAAAAATTCTTTCCTGATAATTGACGGACAAAAATCATTTGGTGGGCTTGAATATCATCAAATGTTATTTTCTTTAATGAAATTTTTATTAGGTGATCAAATATATTATGAATGGTTAAGTGACGGAGTTTTACTATTAGAAATGGAAAATTATACAATTATTATTAAATCAATTGAATATCCTTCACTTCTTATTGATCCATTTGGACAATATGATCAATGGATGGGAAAATGTTATAATCTTCAAAAAATTCATTTTGATAATCAGTATGTTTCATTTTCGTACTAAATATAGTCAATTTATCATATCTTTTTAAATCTAATGTCTACTTATCTAGAATTACCGATAGCCTTTTCCACTAATTCTTGTTGATTAAGAAAAAGATTAGGAAGAGATATCAAAAATGTTTTTTTTAATTTTATAGATTAAAACATGATGTTGTAATGTCAATTGAACAATCATTTTTATCTGGTTCAAAAATTTATATAAAAAATTGTAATACATTAGATAGTCTTCTTTATCCATTAGCACAATGGAAAGCAACATCACACGAATCAAATTCTAATGATGGTATATCAACTTTCTTCTTCGTTTCTTACTTAAATTTAAAATATTTGTTTAGATTCAAATTTAATAATTTATTATAGTCGCTGTTTATATTGTAATACAACATTTCGTTTTTATTTTCATACTACTTGCGATTCACTTGATAAAGTTTCATCATCATTGTAACTATTAACAACATCTATTAATTGTCAGTATAATGTTGAAACAGTATTAGATGATTTATGACAACAAATTTTTCAACATATTCAACCAAATTTGTATCAGAAAAAATTACCAATTTTTTGTTTAATACTTTTATGTCAACTAAGAATTGAAGCAATTGATTCATTTCTTAAATCAAATGCAGTTAGGTATGTTCACAAATTTATATATGATTCTAGATACTAAAAACTCACAAAAAATAGGATCATTTTTTATTGATGTTAGTTATTCTTTATTTTATCAATTTATTCCATTAAATGATAAAAAAATCTCCTGAAGATAAAAATCTTTGGAAAGATATTGAAGATAAAAGTATGTTCAATTTATTGGAAAAACAGTTTTCTTTTCTTTTGTTTTTAAAGAATATCCTCAACTTCTATCATTAACTGAAACAAATGAATCACAAAAAAGGAGTTGTCTGCACCTGATCAAAAATAAATAGATGAAAATTATAAAAAAATAATTGAACCATTTATTAAAATAACCTTAACGTTTGTAGAAAACAGCAAAAATACTAAAAAAATTCTTTATTTCTTCTTTTTTTTGTTTTTAGTCAATTATCAATTGATGATCGTTTAGAATTTTAATTCTTCTTCAATTTTTATTAAAAACAACAGTTGAAAATAGTGATAAAAAAAGTGAAATACTTTAATTCGAATTTTTAGCAACGGGTTTACCGAGAAGTGATATTCAATCTTAATCATACCCATCAATATTAACAAAAAAAAACAAATTGGATTCAAAAGTTTGACTTATCTTGGTACTCGTCTTCATCATTATGATTGTTTACTTGAAGGAGAAGTTTCTTTATCAAATTTATTATATAAAAATTCAAATAATTATATTTGAGAAATAATTGATCAATTAATATCTATTAGTTCTGTACTTAATCAATGTCAGGTGATGAACTTATAATTGTTTATGGTTCAATATTAATTCAATCAATACTTGTTTATTATCAACAAATATTTGAACAAAGTACTTTTACACTTCAATGGACAAGAAATTTCCCACAATTTGTTTTAAATATAATTAGAACTAATAAAGATCAAAACCTAATGAAAAATTTAATTGAAATGACATTTCCGACACATTCACCATTAGTAACAAAATTATTAAATGAATTATTTCAACAAATTTCATCAAAAACTTCACTCAAATTAAATGAATTTCAATTTGAAATTCCACAAAATTCAAGTCAATATAATCTTCAATGGTTTTTATCCAAACATGCAAAAATAAATTTTCATTTTAATGATTATCCATCAAAACAAAAAACTCTTCAACATCAATTTTATCTTTTTACCGAACAATTAAATAAATTATGGCATGATAAATCCGAAAATATTTTTCAAAAATTAAATATTTCATTTATTAAAAGAACGTTTACTACTTATTTTAAATTTCCCATCAATTAAATATTTTAAACAAGATTTTATTAGTATCGTTCTTTATCAGGTATCAATTCGATTTTTTTTATAAATATAGAACATTTTCTTGAGGGTGTGAGCGTGGTTACTGTTCGTCTTTCTACATCACACCCACATCCACACCCTCACATCTTCCTTAAGTTTAGATCTAATGGTGTTCAAAATGAGTTTCTTGAAATGAAATAGGTCAGACGATAATAAAAAGAATCAGTCTGCCGCAAAATATTTACTATTAGAATAATATAAAAGATTCAAATCTTTTTTCTAGATCAGCAGTAAACGATTGGTAAGGATGCTCAAAAAGCCGTGTTTTTATCTCAATGTTGTATTTAAAATATAGAATTTTCTTTGATATTTAAGTATTTTTCATTTATACGTTTTTAGATTTCTCATATATTTCTTTTATTGACTCATTAATTAATATCTGATAAATGACAATGTCACCTTTCAACAATCGATTAGAACCAGTGGCTATTGTCGGCATAGCCTGTGAATTTGCAGGCGATATTCATTCTGGCAACGACTTATGGTATGCATTGGAGGATAGTCGAGATGTGGGTAGTGCAATTCCACGTGATCGACTTGATCTCGAGTCTTATTGTGCTCATATGTTTAACAAGGATAATGATGGACAATTTCGCCAAAAACTTATTCGTCGAGGATATTTTCTTTCAAATAATCAATGGGATCTGTTTGAACCAAGTTTCTTCGGTCTATCGGATGCTGAGGCCGGTAGTATTGATCCATGCCACCGATTACTCATGCTCAAGTTTGTCCATTTACTTGACGATGCTGGATACAGTATGGAGAAAATGAATGGTTCAAGAACGTCCGTGCATATTGGGCAGTATTCTACAGACCATGCTCTAACATCATTTCGGATGGAGCCTGAACATCGATCAAGATTTCATGGAACCAATAGTTTGCTCTACAATGCTGCTGCTCGATTATCCTATCATTTTAATCTACGAGGTCCTAACGTATCATTGGATGTTGCCTGTTCATCGTCGCTAGAGGCTTTACATTTGGCTGTACAAACTCTTCGCACAAACGAAGCAGATATGGCTATATGTGGTGGAGTGAATGCTGTCTATTCACCAGAGAGTCTTTTATGGAGTTCGATCCTGGGCGCTATATCACCTGATGGACGAAGTCGATCGTTCAGTGCCGATGCAAATGGTTATGCAAAAGGTAAACAATACATTTATATATATTCGTCAACACTCTTGAATCTTATGTTTAGCTGAAGGTCTTGGTCTTCTACTATTGAAGCGACTGAGTGATGCTGAACGTGATAATGACCGCATATATTGTGTTCTTCGTGATGTACTTAGTAACCATGATGGAAGTGAAGATAAGAATAGTTTTGTTGTTCCATCAGCTGCCGGTCAGGCACGGTTACTCAATGATATCTACAAACGGGCAGATTTTGATCCTCGACGTATTTTTTATGTCGAAGCACACGGCACTGGTACACCAGTAGGTGATCCCATCGAAGCTAATTGTTTAGGCCAATTTTTCAATCGATCTTGTTTTGATCCGCCATTATTAATTGGCTCTGTTAAAAGTAATTTAGGACATACAGAAGGAGTGGCTGGCATTGCTGGATTAATTAAGATTGCTATGTGTATGCATCATCGGACTATTCCACCAAATATGCACTTCAAATCATTGAATCCAAAAATTGAAGCACAACGATATAATCTTCACATCGTCCAACATTCCGTACCATTTCCTTTTGTCAATGACAATGAGTCCACAGCTATGGGCATTAGTTCATTTGGCATGGGAGGCAACAATGCACATGCTATTGTTGAAGAATATCAAGCAAATAAAACTTCACCTACAAATAAATTTGAAAATAATCAGATTCAGAAGAATAATATCGAGAGTAGACAATATTTCACTTTTATCTTCTCAAGTGAGTTTCATAAACATAAATTGTCTGATCAAATAATGTACTGATGTTTTTCTTTCTTTCAGCGAAAAGTCGTAAATCTCTAAACAATCAAGTAGCTCAATTCAATCAATGGTTACAAAAGCTATTAATAACTGATATGAGCAATAACTATTCATTTCTTCAACGCATCTCTCAACAACTTCTTCTAAAGCGTACTGTTAGTCATGCACACTTAGCCATCTTTGTATTTACCAATGTTAAACAACTTCAAGAACAAATCAACGCTTTTCTTATTCAAGAGTCATTACCCGGTCTTTCTATATCCATGCGTCCAACGATATCACTATCGAAGATATGTTTCGTTTTTAGTGGACAAGGTCCTCAATGGTGGGCTATGGGTCGACAATTGTATGAAAGCGAATCTGTTTTCACTCGATGGGTTCAATTGATTGATGCTGAAATGACAAAGATTAACAATGGTGAATGGTATCTATTGGAAGAATTAATTGGCAAAAAGAGTGAACACGAATCTCGTATTAATGATACAAATATTGCTCAACCAGCTTTATTCGCTATTCAAGTTGCATTAGCAGCTTTACTTGTCTCATGGAATATTTATCCTTCAACAATCGTCTCACACAGTGCTGGAGATCAAGCCGCTGCTTTTGTTGCGGGTCGTCTCACTTTGCAAGAAGCTGTTCGTATTGTTTATCATCGATCACGTCTTCAAAATCGTAATACACGACAAGGTGGTCGCATGTTAGCTGTATCGATGAGTGAAGATGAAGTACAAAATAAACTTCTCAAGGGTATTGAACATCTTGTTTGTATTGCTGTTGTTAACAGTCCTCGTTCTGTCACCTTAAGTGGAGATGAAAAGATTATCGATGAATTACAACAAACTCTCTCAACATTTTATCCAAATGTTTTCAAAGCTCGTCTTCGTATTGAAAATGCATTTCATTCTTATCAGATGGATCGATTTGATATAGAAAAAGAGATCTTATCGTCACTCAAAGATATCCAAGGACTTCCTCTGAAAGACTCTCAACAAATGTTCAATCCAAAATGTGCTGAAGCTAATCTTTATTCCAGTGTAACTGGTAATAAATTAAATGATCACATACCAGTCGATGCTCATTATTGGTGGTCAAATGTGAGACAATGTGTTCGATTTCGTGATGCTGTGACATCAATTCAACAACATGATGCTCCAACTGTTTTTCTTGAGCTGTCACCACATCCAGTATTGGCTATATCTATTCGAGAATGTTATAAACCGACAGATAATCAACCACTTATTCTGCCAACATTGAAACGAAAAGAAAATGAACAAATAACATTACTTACTAGTCTCGCACAACTAACAACATCATCCCATGTCTGGCAACAATATTTTCATACTCGAGATATATTACCAATGATAGATAATGAACAATTATTTGACGATTTTCCATTGTATGCATTTGATCTTAGTTCATGTTGGTATGAATCAAAAGATTCAGTTATTACACGTCTGGCTAATCGTATTCCTATTCATCCTCTATTGGGTGTCCGTCAATTAACAGGACAAACAAGTGCTACATGGAAGAGTCTTATCAATATTAATCTACCACAATATGCTTATTTGAAAGATCACAAAATTCAAGATGCAATCATTTTTCCTGCTGTAGCGTATCTTGAAATTGTAACAGCTGCCTATCACCAGTTATTTCTATCATCAGATAACAAGCAATCTTCACTTGTTTTGAAACAAATCAAATTTGTCAAAGCTCTCAGTCTTAGTGAGCATGAATTAACGGAAGTGTTCACACAAATTGTCATACCAGTTCGTCAATGGTTTGTCTATAGTCGACGATGGACATCAGCTGGTTCAGATTGCATGCGCTCATCAGGTATGGCAGGTGTTGATGTAGTCGATTCTTTTATCGATTCAGAAACTCTTAATCAATATTCATTACGTGAATTCACTCTACATGCTCATGGTCATATTGAGATGGATGGTGTTCAACAAAAATTAACAACATCACTTTCTACCAGTCCAGCTTACAATACGTGGTCAACGACTGATGCAACCAGTATTTATACTCATTTATCAACACGAGGTTATCAATATGGACCATCTTTTCGAAACATACGATCATTATGTGGTACGACATCCACAGTTATTGCTCAAATCCATACCAATCTTGATGCAATTATTGATCTCTCTTCTTATCATTTGCTCCATCCAAGTTTATTGGATAGTTCTATGCAGCCACCTCTAACTTTGTTACCTGGTGCCGATACTACATTCATTCCAGTTAGTATCCACAAATTTATTGCTACGAGCAAAGTGAACACATACCACTCAGATGTTGAACTTCGTGGCAACTATCATGATACCGTTTGTGGCCTAAGTCAAGAGCGAACATATATTGGTGATTTCTTGATTCTGTCTAGTAACGACACGACAATCAATGAACCAATGTTCATTTTTGAAGGTTTTACATATCAACAAGTTCAAGGTGTACAATCTGGTCGATGGACATTAGAGAAGTCCATTTTTGATAAATTAAATGCAGGCGTTGACTTGCCTAATGTAGATCGTAGTGAACAATTAGACACAATCGTAAAAGACTATTGTATGGAAAGAATATGGATGAATTCACCAATAATAACAAGTATAGCGGACTTACTTCCATCGCTCGATCAGATTCGTAATGATGGAATTGATGCTGTTAGTAATCAAGATTTGATTGACTCAATTGAACCATTCAACGAATTAGCTGCATGTTATGCTCAAGTAGCAATAAAAGATCTCGATCTAAATCTCGCCAATAATCAGTATCGTCCTTTATTAAATGCATGTAACTCTCTTGCCACTATTTTACATGAACCAGTAACAGTGCATTCTACACAACTTCGTCTTAGGCAGTTATTCGATCATTTTCCTCGTCTCAAATCACTTTTGACCTTATTGGATACATATGGTTCGCGTCTAAAAGATGTTTTTACTGGACAAGCGAATGGTTTAGATATATTCTTAGGAAACAACGAAACTGAACGAGCATTGCAAGATATAAAAACTATCATGAGTGCACATAGA